CAACCACTGCGCCACCAGGGAAACCCTGCATGCTTCTTTTGATAAGCTTTTGGAAAGTTCATCACTTTTCCAGAACAGACCGGCTTTTCATTTTATGAATTCTAGAGTTTTCGTTGAGTATCTCCTCATCAACTATCTGGACAAAGACAGTTGAGTGTGGTGTCCTCAGTGCTGGCCCTTAAATTTCCCCGGATTTCCCAAACCACATCAGTGTATCAAAAGACTTGAGCAGATCCCCGTTGGGGTGTTTGAAAAACGTAAATTTTCATTTCCAGACGTGTTCTCAAACGGGAGGAAGGTAAGTAAAAATCCTGTTAGGTTCTGTATGCAAAAACATGAACACATAGGATTAGGTGATTAGATAATAAGGATGCTAGAAGAATCGTTGCATTGCTTGGTTGAATTTGTACCCCTGGAGCTGCCATAACAAATTACCACCAAACTAGGGAGCTTAAAACCATAGGCATTCATCCTCTCTGAATCCTGGACACCAGATGTCTGAAGTCAAGGTGTCCCAGGGCCGCGCTCCCTCCAGAGGCTCCAGGGGAGGGTCCTTCCCGCCTCTTCCAGCTTTTGGGGGCTCCAGGCGTCCCTGGACTTACGGCCACATCCCTCCCGTCTCTGCCTCTGTCTTCCCGGGGCTTCTCCTCTGTGTCTGGGTCTCTCCTCTTCTGTCTCTTGGAAGGACCCTGTCATTGGATGTAGGGCCACCCTCATCCAGGAGGACCTCATCTCAGACCCTTCCCTTCATCACCTCTGCAAAGACCCTGTTTCCAAATAAGCTCCCGTTCCCAGGTTCCAGGGTTAGGAATTGAATCTGTCTCTTGTGGGACACAATTCAACCCTCAACTGGTGGGAGGAGGGTTAGGAAAACTGTGTGTAGGTGAGGCAAACAGGACCAGGCCCACTGTGGGTCCCCTCCCAGGACAGAGGTTGCGTAGGGTCCACATGGGCGATGTCGGTTTTCTGGTGTGTTGGTCCATTAGTGGATTTTTTCTGCAGAACGTGGTGCGGGAAAAGGGGGGGAGACCAGAGGGGGATGGAGGGTGAAATCAGAGGGAGTGGCCTCCCTATCATTTCTGTCATTACCCCTGTGATCCCCATACCCCGAGATAAAACCCAGAGTGGTTTCCGTTTTCTCCTTTTGTAATTCCCTGGCATTCCACGCTACTCCTACGGTCCCCATTCTGTGTGGATTTCCCCCCAAGTGTTTTCAGTTCCAGCAAACTTACAATGACCCACACGAACTTAAATCCTAGTAGCTTTGATTTTCCACCTGCTTCATTTACCTTATGGGTTTTCAAAGACAAAATAAGGTGGTCGCTTTTTTTTAACCTGGCGTCTGCAGGGCAAAGGCTTTGCCATGGTCCCCGTGTGACCTCCCTCCTCTCGGGACAGTTTGTGGGTTTGGGGCTGAGGAAGACGGCAGGTCAGTCCCTCCTGACCCTGCGAAATGCATTTTCTGTGCTTTCCCACACCTCACTCTGCAGTTCTTTTTTTTTTTTCCCCTCTGTTGTGACTTCACAGTAAAGTGATACCTTGTGTTCAAGGTGACCCCTTTATTTATTTTTTAAATTTTTACTGGAGTGTAGTTGAGAAATAGGTTTGTTTGTTTTTTCCGCGTTTTTTTGAGATGTGTTTGATGTATAACGCTGTATTAGTTTTGGGTGTGCAACGCAATGACTGGATATTCGTATATATTGCAAACTGATCACCACAGTCTATCTAGTTAACGTCCATCACCTCACATAGTTACACATTTTTTTCTCGTGATGAGAACTTTTAAGATCTACTCTCTTCGCGGCTTTCAAGTAAACAATACAGTGTTACTAACTGTAGTCACCATGCCGTACCTGACATTCCCAGGACTTATTTATTTTGTAACTGTAACCTTCTACCTTTTAACCCCCTTCATCCATTCCCCCGATCGCTCACCCCTCACCTCTGGCGACCACCGTCGACTCTGTTTCTATGAGTTTGCCCTTTTTTAGATTCCTCATATATATGAGATCATACAGTGTGCGTTTTTCTCTGTTGGACTTATTTCACTTAGCCTAATGCTCTCGGGGCTCATCCGTGATGTCCCAAGTGGCAGGATTTCCTTCATTTTTTAATTTTATTGGAGTATAGTTGATTATCACACTAAGTGAAGTAAGTTAGACAAAGATCATACGCTGTCACTCATCTGTGGCATCTAATTAAAAATGATATAAATGAACTTACTTACAAAACAGAAACAGACTCACAGATTTCAAAAACAAACTTATGTTTACCAGAGGGGAAACGTGAGGGGGAGGAATCAGTCAGGAACCTGGGATTAACATACACATACTAGTATATATAAAATAGATAATCAACAAGGCTTTCCTTCATTTTTACGCTGAATAATATTCCATTTCGTCTCTTATTGGGCGGAGGTGGGTCATGTAACCATCCTTACCCACAGCAAAGCTAAAAGGGGGACTTTTCTACTTTCCAACGGGAGATATGGAGAGCTGGGGATGTATATTGGAGAGCCTGCCAACAGCGAGCAGGAAAGATGTTTGTCCTTTTTCTTTCCAGTGCAATAACGACTTCATACCAGCACCATTGAATGTTGGTTTGGTCTTTAGCGCGTTAAAGCCGGTCACCTTAAAAATTACAGCATGCTGGTTTCATCCGCCGTCAACAAGACGGTTTCCCTGTATCATCCTGTAATCTGACTGTGGTGCTGAGGGAGTTCCCCCATCTCTGCACTGCAGGCACTCTGCTTTGAGTTCTCAGTGTTTACAGCACACACAGCTCAGAGCAAAGCTTAAAAGATGTTGCAGGCAGAAAGGTAAAAAAATTAAAAAAAAATCTGTGGAGTCATAGCCATGTTGTCTTTCTTTTCATCACTAGAATTGTAGCGTGTGGTGAGACCGTTGATAACGTCGATCTAGTCATCTACCTGTTCTATCAGAGAGATGAAAACAGTATGAGTCCAGACGGGTTAATTTGTTTGCGTTGGGTTCACAGAGCAAGTCAAAGGCACAACGTGCACTAGAAGCCATGGCAGTGTCCTCAGTTCCCGTTCCTGCGCCCTTTGCCAAGCGATCTCCTGAAAACACCTCGACTGTGTCCATTCACTCTCCTCGGGGCCCTTCCCCTACTTGCGTCTCTGTGAACCTGCTTGCGCAGAACGTTGTCAACGCCGCCTCACTGTGACACAATTCTGTGTCTACTTCTGAATCATCTTTTGATGAGGACGGACTTTTTAAACCTGTACTGGGGCTCATCATTGGCTTCTTCTGGCACAGTTTCTTTCCTTCATGTGTGTACATCGCTTTCTACTTGCGCAATAATAAAATATTCACGATTGGGAACTTGCTTTCAAAGCCCAGGTGACGTAGCCACGTCCCTCACCCCAGCTGCGTAAGCCAGTAGAGGCGCTCACTTATTTTGCAGCTTGAGAATTTCGATTTGTAGCAGAGGCCCTCCCCCCAAGTGCGTTGCTTAGGTGTAACTTTGTTTTCCTCTCCATGTTACCATGTGCCGTAAATGGCGTTCCCAACTCTGTGAAAGAGGAGAAGGTGGCTGCGTGGTTGCGTTGAAGGTCTTTTTCGTCTTCGAGCCATCCCTGAATTCCTTTCTTCCTGCTTTCTCATCATGTTGATTGCCATTTTTCCAGCCAGGGAGCCCCAGTTCGTTGGCCGTTTTCCACACCTCCTTCCCCTGGGAGAGCCCTTCCTCTGCGTTATTTCTTCGATAAACGGGGGCGGAAAGGACAGCCGTCTTGGGTAAGCTTCCAGAGGGTCACACAGACAGATGTCATTTTTCTGCCCCCAACTTTACCTTTTCTCTGGCCGTAGATAAAATGCCTTCGGAGCTTTAATCTCAGAGGTGCCCTAAGTGATTGCCGGCCTGGGGGAGGGGTAGCAGCTGGACCCCACCCCACAGTGAGGCTCAGAGGATGAAGAAGGGCTGGTGGGAGACCACAGAGGAGGAGACATTGGGTTGACAGTGTCACAGCATATGGTACACAAGAGGGTTTGATTTCCTTTTACATTTATGCTGTTGATTTCCTTTCATGTTTGCACTTTTTAAATTTTTCTCTCTGTTAGTATCTGCATCACTTGGTTCTAACCCTTGGCAAGTTTTAACAGAAACACTGCGTTTAGCTGGCGTTAATGGCTTAAAGGAAGCAGCTTGTGAGGAGGGGTGTGTCACACTTAGCCTTTTCTGTTTTGTTTTGTTTTAACAGGACGGTGGCGATCACCAACACGTGTACTAGAGTTTTGAGTTTATTAGCCTCTCATACAGTGCTTTGTGGGATAAAGAGGAACCAGGCAGGGATACTCACAAGTTTTCATGGAAAGAGTTATCTTCTGATTTTTTATTTTTTAATCCAATTTTTAAAATTGAAGTAGAGTTAATTCGCAATGTTGCGTTAGCTTCAGGCGCACAGCAGAGTGATGCGGTTATATATATGCATATCTATTCTTTTTCAGGTTCTTTCCTATTATAGGTTATTATAAGGTGTTGAGTAGAGTTTCCTGTGCTCTACAGTAGGTCCTCGTTGTTCACCTGTTTTATATATAGTAGTGTGTATCTGCTAATCCCAAGCTCCTAATTTATCTCTCCCCACCCCCTGCTCTCCCCTCCGGTAACCGTAAGTTTATTTTCTATGTCTTGTCTTGATTTAGAAAATCTAAAGAAAAAGACACGTCGAAGGAATGTATTTAGCATCCTTTTCCATTCTGCCTTTCCCTGTGTGTGTGTGTGTGCGCGCGTTTCCTCTGGGATGACTCATTTGCAGAAAGCATGGCCAGTCGCCCCTATTAAAGAACAATTCGGGGGCAGTGATCCTGTGTGTGTGTCGGTTCAGTTGACCGTTCCAGACAGGTGCCCGTCACCCAGCCCTCGCACCAGGTGCATCGCCCATTACTGAGCTGTCCGAGCCTCCAGGCTGTCTTGAGGTCGGGGTGCTGGTCTCCCGTCCTGGGGGCCGTGGCTGCTGACACCGCGTCTCCCCACTGCAGGTACGGGGACGTTCGGTCGCGTGCAGCTGGTCCGCGAGAAGCAGAGCACACGTTTCTTCGCCCTGAAGGTGATGAGTATCCCGGACGTCATCCGCCTGAAGCAGGAACAGCATGTGCACAACGAGAAATCCGTGCTGAAGGAAGTCAGCCACCCGTTCCTGGTCAAGCTGTGAGTCCCCTTCGCCGGGGCCCCACCCTCCCGGCCCCCAGGTGGATTTTCCTGCGGGAGGTGGGATGGGGTGCGGTCATAGCGGGTCACCCTCTGCTGAGACATCTCAGCTCCCGGTCTCGCGGAGAAAGGCGCCGTTCCCACAAGTGCCTGCCAGGGTGGCACGCCTGGCGGTGCCCCCCCTGCACCAGCCGCGTGTCCACAGGGCCGCCTGGGGCCCGCCAGAGGCTCTGTCCCCTCCTCCCACCCCCAGCCCCCTGGGCAGCCTGTCCAGTCGGTCTTCCTGGGACCTCAGTCACCTGCTCACCTCTGCTCACTCACATCGTTCCTTGGGTTTCTAGCTGGCCGTTCAGTGGCCCCATGTCGATGCCTCATAGAACCTTCCAGTTGAAGGTGCCCGATGTGGACCAAATGGATCCCTCTTTCTGCCACGCTCTTTGCTGGTGGAGGGTAAGGCCGTTTCCCACTCAGGGACCTCAGGTGTGGGCGTCCACAGAGGGCTCTCCGTCCCCATCCCCGGGGGCCCGCCCCTTCCGCCGCCTTCCTCACGCCCCTTCGCAGCCCCCGACCCCTCCCAGCCCAGCCTGGTGTGGGCCCCCCTCTCTGGCCTGAGTGCCCAGCTGTTCTTGGCCTCCCAGACTTGCCTCTTTCAAGGCGTTCTTTGCTTTCACTACAGCCGTAGTGATCCCTTCACCCACACGGCCCTCCGATGACCTGCGTCTCTGCTGACACATCCTCAGGGAATGACCCCAGGGGCTCAGTGGCCTAGAAACGGCTCATCCCGGGCTCTGCCTCTGCCTCTGGCTCTTCTCAGACGCTCTTGCCTCCATCCCAGGAAAGTGACCTGCAGGAGGAGGTGGGAGGTACCATCCATGTTGTCACCGCAGGGCCACCCGCCCCCGCCTGGTGCCCCCTTCATCTGCCTCTCCCCACCCCCCGCCTCTCCCACCTCACCCTCACCTGCCTTTCCTCTGCGATGCACCTGCCTGTTCACAGAGACAGGCGCCTGCACCCTGCTCTTGGAGCACCTTGCCTGTGCCCCAGTGCAGGGAGATAACACCTGTCGGCTCACAGCCACCGGAGCAATGTCCCCAGGGCCCGAAACAGCGTGTCACTCGGAGCAGGGACGGGCGGCATGTTTGACGGGTGACAGAAGGGAAGCAGCTGACTTCTTGTCTTACTTTCCTTTTATGAAGCCCAGTGGCCGTGTTGGGCCAGTGTGGACGGGTCAGTAGAGTCTCATGCTGTTGAGTCATTAAAATCGAAACAAAAAAAGAACTTAGCCGGTGCAGCAGAACCACCACCCCTCCCTGTTCAGGTCTGAGTCTCCTCTTCGCTGGGAGGTGGTGGGGAGATGGGTAGAAAATCTCATGCGTGTACATCTTCTTCTGGAAAGAAGAAAAGCTTCTACTTCTGGTGTCTCTTCTAGAAACTGAAATAGTGATTCTGGATGATGACTTCAGTTGGCTAGGGTGTTCAGTACACGTTCTGTACAGGAGATGTGGACTCCTTCATCTGTTGCCAAGTCATTCTCAGGTGATTTGGGAGAACGGTCTTGGGCTTTTACCAAATACAGGAAGTCTCAAGCCAGGACCCCAGGGTGTGTCCCCGAGGGTGCTTTGTGGCTGAGTTTTCCCAGGAAGATGGGGCACCTGGCCGCTGGGTTCCGGTTTGCTCTGGAAACCAAGTGGCGTGATCGGTTACGTGTCTGCAGTGACATTAGGAGAACACGGAAGAGAAGCAGGTGGAATTGATGGTGAAAACGAAAAGTCTGAAACATTGGCGTCGAGAACACACAAGTTTGGAGAAGAGGGAAGAAGGCAGTGGGAGGAGTGCTTCCCAGGGCTGTGCGTGGGTGGTGGGCATGCCGCCCGGCGGCTGGCGGGGTTGCTGAGGTCACCTCAACGCATATGTTCTGGGATCAGGCATGTCCCCCTGGAAACATTAGGGTGATGCTATAGGGAACCTTGGGGGATGGCTTCCATTCTGGGAACTCCACCTTGTTGTGGGTTGAATTGTGTGTCGTGTCCCCCCGCCACCCCTGCAAAAGATACGTTGATGTCCTGACCCCCAGTACCCGTGAATGTGACCTTATTTGGAAGTTGGGGCTTTGTAGGTGTCATCAAGATGGAGGTCGAGGTCCTATAGGAGTAAGGTGGGTTCTCCATCTGATGTGATGGGTGCCCTCGTACCAAGTGGAGACGACACACAAAGACACACAGAGAGGAGACGGCCACGTGAAGACAGAGGTGGAGATTGGGGGTGATGCGGCCATAAGCCGAGGAGCCCCAGGGATTGCTGGCAACCACCAGAAGCTATGGAAGAAGCTAGGACGGATCCTTCCCTGGAGATTCTAGAAGGAACCACCAACACCCTGATCTTGCACTTCTGGCCTCCAGAACTATGACAGGATGCATTTCTGTTGTTTAAGCCACCCAGTTTGTGGTCTTCTGTTACGGCAGCCCCAGCAAAGTACCACACACCCCGTCGTCTCCTGGAGTGGGCACCAGCCTAGGGGGTGCTTTCTAACTACGTCAGAGGAGTCCCCAGGATAGAATCCTTGAGCTTTGGGAAGTTAAAAGGGAGTAGGGAAGAGGAGGACCGTGAAAAACGGAGCTTTAGTCAGACAACTCTGCTTCCTTGACTCCTGGACAGCTAATCAGGCGGCCTCCTCATCAGGTAGGGTAGACTGCCGAACCCAGAGGGACGCAGACTGTGTATTCCGACGTGCTGTGCTTTTGGATAAGTACCTGAATTGTTTCCATCACAAAGGCTGTAAGCCCTAGTTTCAGTGGGATGGAATTTGACCCCAGGTTATCTAAATCGGGTTTTCTCTAATTTTAAAGAGTGTGACCTCTCTGCACTGTGGTAGCTCTGTAATCTGACAGTCTCTTTGCTACCTTGATATTCCTGTTGCCATACTGGGTGCAGGCACACCTCAGTGTAGTCTTTTTATATGTCAGGTCCAACTGTGCTACGGCCAACAGGCAGGAACTTTTCCTGGTCCTTTAGTCCGCAAGGCTGTCCTCTGCATGTCTGTGTCCTGGCCTTGTCTTCCTATAAGGACCCCAGCCCTACGGGACCAGGACCCAGCCTAGTGACCTCATTTCACGTTCATCCCCTTTTTAAAGACCCCATCTCTAAATCCAGCCACATGCTGAGGTCCTGGGGGTTAGGACTTCAGCATAGAGATTTTGGGGTGGACACTACTACTTAGTGACTTGCTAAGTGCAGGTCTTTCAGTGCACAGGGGTCTTATTATAAAGTACTTGTAGCCTTTGGAAGTTTTCTGTGCACTATCACTTGAGGGACCCGGCGGTGTTTGAAAACTGGGATTGAATTGATCCAGGGTCAGCAGACTCTAGAGGTGCCCCACACGTAATGGGGAGAGCGCTGTATCTGACCAGCCCCGCGAACAGGGGGAGTGGGGTGCCCAGGGCCACTGGATGGGGCACCAGATTTAGTGGGAAGAGACCACGAGGGAAGCAGGTATCGAATCCCCCCAGCTGTGCAGTTTCTCTTGGAAATGAGTTGCTTCTCCCAACATCTGCCTTTCATACCATCCAGAAGTGTTGAGTGAGCCTTACTCATGTTCCCGTGAAGCCACATGGAATACCGATGACCCCGGGTATCACGCCGAACAAAGACTCAAGTTTCAACTTCCACGTGAACGGTTTGGCACGTTCGCCCACGGTGTCATTAGCGTGCGGTATTTGAAGTGCTACTGGCTGCGTTGTTGAAAGTCGGCCAGGACGTTCATTACGTCCACATCAGAGAATACATTCTGTTCTGGGATAAAGCCATCCTGAAGGCCGGTTCAGCCAGCGTAGAGATAATTTCAGAAGAGCTGACAAACTCAGTGTAGAAGGATTGTGTTACAGTCAAGGTGTCCCGGGGAGGAAGGCTTGTGTCCCGCCCCTAGACCAGGACCCTGTGTCTGCTCCCTGCCCTTTGTGCGTCTAGAAATCGCTGGCATCTTAGAGTTGGTGGGATCCAGGACAGGCATTCTCACCTGGGCGCCACTGACATTGGGGACGGGAAATTCTTTGTGGTGGCGGCTCTCCTGTGTAGTAGAGGAGGTCTAGCAGCATCCCTGGTGTCTACCCACTGGATGCCAGGAGCACACTCCCTCCGTGGTGTGATGGCAAAAAATGTGTTTAGACGTTGACAGAAAATGTCCCAGGGAGTGAAATAGTCCTGATTACAGACCACTGCCTAGATAGATAGATAGATAGATAGATAGATAGATAGATAGATAGATAGATAGAAAGAAAGAATGCGTGGATGGATGGATGGAAGGAAGAAAGGAAGACAGGATGAATAGGCAGGTGATATAGAAATAGATAGTGAGATAAATAGATTGATAGGTAGATATTTGGGTAGATGGATGGGTGGGTGGATGGATGGATGGATACACAGATGGTAGACAAATGATTAGATAGGTTGACGGATGGATGGATGGGTTGAATGATGGATGGAAGGTTGGTTGATAACACCTGTGATAGGGGCACACACAGAGACTAGGTGGGTGTGGGTGCATTCTCACTTTCCTGTCCCAGCCCCTGCACGTGGAGTTCCATCGTTTCGTCTTGGTGATGAGCCTGTGGACCCAATAACAGTCCCAGTGCCGTGTCACTCATTGCGCAGTAGCTAGCCAGCTAGCTAGCTGGGCACCCTACTCCCCCCGTTCGCGGGGCTGGTCAGATACAGCGCTCTCCCCATTACGTGTGGGGCATCTCTAGAGTCTGCTGACCCTGGATCAATTTAATCCCAGTTTTCAACCCAGCTAGCCAGCCATATTTCATTGGCTTTCCGCTACAGATCTGGGTATGAAAGAACTCAGAGGTCCATCACCCATGGGGCACATCCTTCTCATTATTGGCGAAATGACAGCTTGGATCTCCACGTAGAGGAACTTGGGTCTTAGTCTGGAGAGGACGAGCCCATAGCCTAAAGGAAAGGTCTTTCTTCCTGCCCACAGACTTGAGTCTCGTGTGCAT